AACCAGGAGGCAGAGGTTGCAATGAGCCGAGATTGAGCCACTGCACTCCAGCCTTGTGCCTGGCGACAGAGTGAGACTCTGTCTGAAAGAAAAAAAAAAAAAAAGAATAAATGTGAATTTCCAAAATGAATTTCACCTCTTTCTGTGTTTAAACTTTTTGGGGTTTTTTTTTTGGTTGCTTTTTTCTATAAAGATGGGGTTTCACCATGTTGCCCAGGCTGGTCTTGAATTCTGAAACTCTGAAGCTCAAGCCATCCACCTACCTCGGCCTGGTGGGAATTTTGACTTCCTCCTCTGTCGCTGGCCAATGGCCACGTTTGCAGGATTTGCTTTTCCTTATTGCTTCTTTTGTTTAGCTGATTTATTTCATCATTTGAATATTTAAAAAACTACTTTGGAAAAACACCAAAATGTGAGCATTGTTATGTTGAAATAATCTGCATTAAGGGGCTAGAAGCTGGGATTACAAATACTTACCTCTTCTGTTTATCTCATATTTGATCTACCTATTTGACGGTCTACCTTCCAAATGGATTCAAAGTCTAACCATTCCATTTCTCCATTACGCCAGCGCTATCTCCTGATGGAATCGCTGCCATCTCTCACAACAGCTTACTGCATAAGCTCTCTCAGTTCTCCCTGATTTTATCCCTACATCCCACCTCCCAGGGTCTTTTGCACAGAGAAGACTGAGGGGTCCACTTGAAATGAAAGCTGATTACATCCCTCTGCTCAAAATTCTCAGAGTTTCCCTAAATAACTCAGGTGTCAAAGTCCTTAACTGGCCCGGAGGCCCTCCATGATGTGACCACCACTATGCTTTGGCTTCATTTCCTACTGCTCTCATCTTGCTTCATCCTGTTTCAGCCACAGCGGACTCTGCAGTACCACACAAGGAGACCTTGACTCCAGCTGTTACATTTGCTTGGAAAACTTTTCCCCCAAATATCCACTTGGCTGACCCTCACACCACCCTTCAAGATTTCGCTCAGATCTTAGCTCTCTTTAGGGCCTGTCCTGGCTCCTCTATTCTTTGCCACAACCCATTCTCTACCCCAGCACATCCTGGCTCATTGGACTCCACTTCTGATGTGGTGTATATTTTCATATTATGTGGATTGTTTATTATCAATCTCCCTCAACTAGAAGTTTGGCTCCACGATGAACATGAATCATGGTCCACTTTATTCACTGATATGTCCCAAGTATTTAGAATGCTGGCTCTCAATAAATGCTTGTTGAATGAACAAACACGCCCAGAAGCATAGACTACATTGTCTCATAATGATTTTTTAAAATTCAACTTGAAGGAAAATACCTGGAGTAGATTTTTTAGTGACTTTTATAGCACTTAACTCACTTAGTAGCTTATACAATTATCAGATTTGAAATGGAAAGCTGGATCCTTTCTTTGCTCTTTTGTGAAACTAAAGGAATCACAGATAATGGCTTCTACAAACTGTCTTCCAGAGTGAAACTAAAAGACTCTCATCTATCTGGAGCCTTTTTAGAAAGCCTGTTAAAAGCTCCCCACTTGTAACTTCTTTAAGAATAAATGGATGTTCTTTCCATGTCAACCCTCTGAACCCTTCTGAAGAAGAAGGAACATAAACAAAAACCTCTTCTTCACTCAGGGAAGATTTCCTGACACGTTCTTTATTATCTTGTGAAATGTCGTTCACCCCATTAGAAGCAGAAGTCCAAACTGGTTTCACTGTTTATCTTGACTCTACAATGATCAGAATGATTGGACACTGGATTAAATATTTTCAAGATTTTAACTTTGTTTGAGATAATTTTCCAAAATAGTATTATTTTATACCATTTTCACAAAATGAAAGTTCACCCAAAATAATTTTGTTAACTAAAAACTTGGGGAAAAAATTATTTTTACCCCCAGGCTTATATATCTAAGTCATCACTAGCCTATACTGTATTGGGCCAAACAATAGCTCGATTCAGTTTTTGGATAAAAGTTATGACTGGGTGCAGTGGCTCGCGCTTGTAATCCTAGCACTTTGGGAGGCCAAGGTCAGTGGATCACTTGAGCTCAGGAGCCACAGACCAGCCTAGGCAACATGGCGAAACCACATCTCTACAAAACATTAACCAGGTGTGGTGGTGCGCACGGATAGTCCCAGCTACTCAGGAGGATGAGGTAGGAGGATGACCTGAGCCAGCAGTGAGGCTGCAGTGAGTTGCCACTGCACTTCCAGCCTGTGTGACAGACTTAGACTCTGTCTCAAAAAAAAAAAAAAAAGTTACTATATATATTTTTTAATTTCTATCTGCTTAAATAAAGAACCTAAATGTTAGTTTAACCAAGTGCCTTGCATGTCTGTTTTTCAGAAACAAGAGAAAACAAAAACAAAATCTGCCTGGGAAATATGTGAGCAGGAGGAACACATTCTGTTGCTAAGGGGAAAAGAAGTCTAACTGTTCAACATTTATCTGACTATTTCCAATATATTTCTTTAGAAAATGTTAGCATTAATGGCCTGCCAAAAAAATGCTCAACTTAGAACTTCTAAACACATAACATTAGATTGATGATTCAGAAAATTTAGAGATGTTTCTGAATTTAGTGACCTAACTTACTTGCCTTGTGAGTATCTCTTCATTTATTTGTTTTAAATCAAGTATTTCCTGAACTTCTATTGTACATAAGGTTCAACTGTCAAAGAATACAATAGGGCCATGATCCTTCAACTAAGAAGGCAATTTGGTTGCCTTTATTTCACCAGGGAAAGATCTAGATTCCTGGCAATGCTCTTAGCAAAGGAATCTGGACACTAGTTTGCCATTATAAAGCCGAAAATGCCAGTATTTCACAACTAAAGAAATCATAAAGAGGTATATTGGTGGGCACAGCGTGAGGGGGAATGAACATGAGGAAAAAATGGAGGAAGAAGGAACTAAATATTTGTATGTTGTAGGTTAAAATAGGAGAGAGAGACAGAAGCAGACAGAGAGAGACAAAGTCAAAGACAGAAACGTAGCAAAAAATACATGCTTCTCTCTTAAATCAACAACAAGGAACATTTTTTTGAAGACCTATTCAATACAAGAATTACCCTTTAATGCTTTACCCTATTTGATGCAAAGTTCAATTACCCTTTAATCTTTAGATAGCTTCTTTGGAAGCATTAAAGGGTAATCTAACAAGAGAGTTGACAAAAGCTGGGAAGCGCTGTAAGGTCTGAAGATACCGTTAAGTTTGAGTGACATAAAGAAAATAAAAGCTTTTTCTAAAATCCAAAACTGATTTCTAAAAAGGAGAAAGATGACACATGGAGAAGCTATGACTATATTAAGAAAGAATATATTATAAGTGTAGTTCAAAAATTGTTCTAAATTTGACCATATTTGAAGTTTAATTTTATTTATATCTGGCTTAATTTTGGCTAATCATATTTAATAAATATTTTAATGAACATTAATTCAACAAATATTTACATCTTTTCTTGGCTGCTAGCCAAATAAATTAGAAAAGTGACCATAATTCTCCACTGACAGTATGAAAAAACAGAAGTCATTATTTAAACAACAAATTTAATAACTTAAATCCAGGAACTGGCAAAACATAATAAAGATAAAAACTTTATCACACTAAAAGAAATTCTGGCAGAAAAGGCCTGGTAAGTGAATGAGCTACTGTAAGCTGTCAGAGCCTGGCATCATTTGGGTCTATGATGGACAAGTGTCATGGTTCAGTAGAAAGAGGATGTCCTATGAAGCTAAACAGATGGGGATTCCCATCTCGGGCACTCACTGGACATTTGATCATGCCATTCAACACTCTGAATCTCAGTTTCCTCAACCATGAAATGCAGATAGTAGTATCTACTTCCTCATAATGTGGGACAGGAAGCAATGTTTGAAACCGGGGGGAAAAAGGCACTCACCACAATGAAAGTGATGGATAAATCTGACATATTAAAATCATGAACATGTGTTTACAACAAGAAATTGTGAAACAGCTTTAAAAAACTAAAAGTGAGATTTGCTCACTTTTAATAGGTCAGTGCAAAAGTAATTGTGTTTTTACATTACTTTTAATGGCAAAAATCATAATTACTTTTGCACCAACCTATAGCTGACAAAGAACTAATATATAGAACAATAAGAAATCCTATCATTCGAAAAGAAAAAGGAGGAGGAAGCAGCTAAAAAATGTAGAAGAGACTTAGACACTTCACAAAAGAGAAAGTTCTAATGGCTAACAAAAAAGGTGCTGGGCCTCATTAGTCATAAATAAAATGCAAATTAAATAATACTATTTTTCAGGGTTGCCTGGGGAACTAAAAGTTTATACATTAAAGCACCTACATACGTCCTGATACACAGTAGGTGTAAAAACCATAAATCAACTTCCCCAATGTTCATGGCATGACCCTTTCTAGGGGCCATTACGATATTGCTAAGAGCATCCAAATATGAAGCAACTCTCCATAGACTTAACATTAAATAATAATATGAACTTACATTTGGTGCTTTCAACACTTAGAATCAAATTTGGATTCCTCTCTAGCAAATACACAAATCACTCCACATGCAATTTTAATGCACACTAATCCCACTCTCGACTTCCTGCTCTCTTTCTTGCTCTCCTTTTTTCTGTCTGCTGTTTTTCATCCTAAATCCGTTTTGCATTGTTATAGTACATGCACATAGGCATGGCATTTAAATTTTTCCTGAGAACAAGTAGGACATAAACAAACACGGTCAGGCAAGCACTGGTCTATGATCTAGAAGTCCTTTGCATCCTCAGAAATCCTCTGAGTATGGTACATCTTTGGGTCACACACAAATATACCAAGTTTATCATACCCGTGGGTTGCTATGGAGAAGGCTCAAAATCAGCACCCTGAAAATTGCACTGGCTCGTTGGCAGGTACCTTAATTTAGCCCATTCTAAAAATTTATCAGTCAAGCTACTTTCTACCCAATTGAAAGAAATGGCATCCATGTATCTGATCGATGACCAACAGACTACTTACATCGGTACATAGTGAAGGAGACTGAGTCTGGGAAGAGCGAGAAGGAGGAGGTGTCTCCGCAGCTATTTCAGGATCTTCCTGTTCACTTTCACTGTAACATTCTATAACAAAAATGAAAATGCTTAATGTTTTAATGCTGTCATCGCTTATTCCATAATGCATGAGCAGAGGTTTCTCTCCATCTGGCTATTGCAATTTCAATCCAATTCAGAAAGTTCCTATCTAATGAACTACCTGGTAACTACCTGGTACAAGGGAATTACGTAACAGGCAGAAACAAATGGCCAGTTCGGGGCTCCTGACCTCAAAGAGCATCCAATATGCAGGAAGAAGACAAATCGTAGCTTGGGGGAAATAAAATAATTCCTCAAAAGAGGTGTGAGTCATAATACCAAGAGAGCACAAAATCAGTAGTGATTAATTTTGATTGTAGAAATCATAATGAATTGAAACCAGCAGGATCACTAAACCAGCAGTGGTACACAAATTGTGACGGGAAGGGAGTCCCAGGCTGAGGGAGGAGGCTGAGCCAAGTATGTGGAGACCCCTATGGAATACGGCAGAAAACAAAGCTGGAAGGTGGTAGAGGCCATGTCATAGAAGGCCTTACATGCCAGGACAAGGAGAAGTTCTGTGTGTGGTTTTGTACTAACTTACAATCTATAAATAGGCAATGGGTGCTTATTTTATGGAAAAGAGGACCAAGAAGATGGTTGGGACACCACTGATTTCAGGGTCTTGCATGGTACCCCTTTATTGTTTCAAATCCAGTTGCCACTTTTTCATTTCTAATTAACTCTACGATTTTACGATTTTGTTATCGGAAGCTATAGCTCCCTACTTCCAATTCCCAAGCCCTTTTGTGATCTGCTCATTTCAGAAAGACTGTCAATTTGGTGGCCCTGGCAGCTAAATCCTCCCTCTTCTCAATACTAAGGTATAATTGCATCATTAAGAATTAGACTCCTTGGCTCACACCTGTAATCCCAGCACTTTGGGAGGCCGAGACAGGCAGATCATGAGGCCAGGAGATCGAGACTATCCTGGCCAGCATGGTGAAAACCCGTCTCTACTAAAAATACAAAAATTAGCTGTGTGTGGTGGCACATGCCTGTAATCCCAGCTACTCAGGAGGCTGAGGCAGGAGAATTGCTTGAACCAGGGAGTCGGAGGTTGCAGTGAGCCGAGATCATGCCACTGCACTCCAGCCTGATGAAAGAAAGACTGTCTCAGCAAAAAAAAAAAAAAAAAAATTAGACTCCTGTAGCTTTGAACCCTGAAAGCTACTGACTGAGCTAAAAATATGGTATGTGTCCCAATATGACCTTCAGGTTCCTAGTGCAATCTTAGGGTAATTAGTCTCAGCACACACCTGGTGGAAATATTAAAATATCAGGGAGGAAATAGTGGGATGAAAGTGATCTGACCAGATCATGACGAGATCACGTCTATGAGTAAGAATTCCGCAAGTAGAGCAATTAAACATTTGCATTGGCAACTGTTTGAGATGTCATGAAGCCCACAGCTGCTAGAGTGTGGGTGAAGTGTGAAAGGCATTCCTAGCCAGCATGGGAAGCTCTATTCCATGTTGGTGAGTCTGTGTGAATATGTCTGTCTCTACATATTTTCAGATTGTTTTAAATGCCAAAGCATGTTTCCTCAGGATCAGACTATACATAGAACTTGACATTGTTTTTTCACCCTGTTTCAACCTATTCTAATATTCTTGCTAAATTTTCAGAAATTTAAAATAGAACATACCTTCATCCTTTGTAGTGGATTCCCGATGGATTACAGCCAATCCAAGTTTATTTAACCACCTAAAATTCAAATAGAAAGCAAATGTTGACCAAAGATATTAGTCCCCTACCCATTCACCTTCCCCCAGACTTCCTTATGAAATTAAGTCATGATTCTACCATCAGTCTGCACATTTCCAGAAACAGCATAGGTTTGTGGCATCAAAAGCTAAGGCCTCTGGTTACACAATACTTTCCTTACTCAAGGTATCCTTTGTAAGGTAAGATGTGAGGTGGCCCATTACTCAGTTGGTTAATGAGGGCAGCCAAATTAGGCATTCCAAAGATATGAACAAATACATCTTCTGTGTATTTGAACTTTTTAGCAACCATCAAACCCTTTATCACTGGATTTAGTAACTTGGCTATTAAAGTTATTGGGCGTTACTCTTAATAATGTCACTTTATTTTAGAAAAAACTCAGGAAAAGATCATTTATTTTTAATCCAAGAATATTTTTATGTCAATCAGTAAAAAATCTGGCTATAATTGGACAGATATTTTTTAACTGGAACAAATTTTAATTCCTTGAAGAATTTTGTGTAACATGAAAATTGAAAATGTCCTATTTACCATTTTACTGGCAATGAATTCCAATTAAACGTCAGTAACAAAAATAGAACTAGACAGAACCTCAAACCTGGCTTGTCCCTGCAGACCACTGCAAGTCCTTCTCATGGGTTTACTTAGGAACATATCTTGAAATACAGATTTTTTAAAGATAGGACACAAAGTGTGTCTATGACATATACTCCTAACCATATCAATCCTGCACTTACTGGGAAGATCTTGCTTATTTTTGCACTTATTTTGAGACAGTGAAAAATCCATGCTATGCATTTATCAATCATCTATGCTTTTGACATCTTCTAGTCTCACCCTGGGCCACGAACAAGCCATGAACAATTCAGCATGCTACACTTACACTAAGCCAACAATACTGTACTTTCCCACATCTGTAACTGTCAGATAATTAGGAATCCCTACCCAACCCTCAACCTGCCACAGTCTTGTTGTACCTGTAATTTTTTAATAGAAAATGTATAATAAATTCAATTTTTAAAAATAAAGTAGGAGTTTCTAAAGAACAAAAATGAGCTCTAGCCTATGTTAAGAAATCACTTTCAGCACTGTGATATCACAAACTCCTTAGCAGCCACTGAAAATTGGACTGATAAAGAGTCCAGATAATGCAAGAGAAACCCAAAAATGTATATCAAGTCTCAATAGGATAATAGGTAAAATAAAGGAGTAGAAATTTACGGGAAAAATACAAATAGCTAGACAATATGTAAAAAAAAATTTCTCAGCCTCAAGAGTACTTTCAGAAATGCATACTCAAACACAGGAAAATATTTTCACCACTGGATTGGAAAAACTTTAAAATATTGTTGATTTCAAGTATTTAACAGGAAATAGAAAAAGAAGCATTGTCATCTTTTATTAAACGTGAAAATTGATACAGCCAATTCTGAGCAGGAAATTTGATGATATATTAAAAATTTAAATATCCATTCCCTTCACCCAACAATTCCAATCATAAATATCAATTCTACAAAAATACAATTGCATATTCGCAAATAAATGTGGCAGAATGTTCACTGCCAACAAGGCTCATAATGACAAAAAGAAAAAAAACATTAACAAGAAAATGAATAAATAATTTATTCTATAACACTGATTCTATCAATTTCATGTTATAACAAAGCTAATGAGAGGACTAAGATGGGGGTGGAGGTGGTTAATGACCTGGAAAATACATGAAAAAACACATATTCTGTAATTGTGCCTTTGAAATTATAAATTTTGAAATTTGTAATGGAATTTTGTATGAAATGGAAAACACTAATATACTCCTAATTGAACAGATCAAGTATAGAACAGTGTGTTTAGCCTGATCCACTGTGCTTCAAAAACGATATGTTTTTGTATGTGTATGAACTGGCATCCACAGAAAAGTGTCAGGAATAATGTAATCTTATTGTTAAAAGTGGATGGCCAGGCTCTGTGGCTTATGCCTGTAATCCCAGGACTTTGGGAAGCCGAGGTGGGCAGACCACAAGGTCAGGAGTTTGAGATCAGCCTGACCAACATGGTAAAGCCCATCTCTACTAAAAATACAAAAATTAGCTAGGTGTGGTGATGGGCACCTGTAATCCCAGCTACTCAGGAGGCTGAGGCAGAAGAATCACTTGAACCTGGGAGGCGGAGTTTGCAGTGAACCAAGATTCTGCCACTGCACTCCAGCCTGGGCGACAGAGCAAAACTCCATCTCAAAAAAAAAAAAAAAAGTGTATAACTCTGCTCTTCCCCTAAGTGGCCTGAAGTGATCTGTGAAAATGGTTTGCTATTTACTTAACCCAGAAAAACCCCATAAAATCATGCAAATCAAGAGGTTCAAATCTTTGTGTTCACTTTAAGAACACCTGTGAAATTCCCTAGGCTATCAGAGGCATGCATATATGAAAAGCCATCAAGTTATCGGGAAGATGTCACTTTACAGAAACGATGTGTTTCCAATGGTGGAGTTGGTAGGTGTGCCCAGGGCAAACAGTAGGGCTGGACACAGGGTTGGTGGCCCAACAAGAATGCTAAATTTTTCCTGCACATGTTTAAAAGTACAGAGAGTAATGCTGAACTCAAGTGTTTACAGGTAGATTCTCTGGTCATTAAGTACATCCAGGTGAATGAAACACCCAAGATGGACTGCTGTATTTTCCGAGATCATGGTCGGATGAATTTATATGTGAGCTCCCTCTGCCACATGGAGATAATCCTTGCTGGAAAGGAAACCACAAGAGGTGGCTGCATGGAAAAAAAAAAAAAAAAAAAAAGATCGGGCACAGTGGCTCACACCTGTAATCCCGGTACTTTGGGAGCCTGAGGCAGGTGGATCACGAGGTCAGGAGTTCGAGACCAGCCTGGCCAACGTGGTGAAACACCATCTCAACTAAAAACACAAAAATTAGCCAGGCATGGTGGCACACGCCTGTAATCCCAGCTGCTCAGGAGGCTGAGGCAGGAGAATCGCTTGAACGAGGAGGTAGAGGTGCAGTTAGCTGAGATCGTACTACTGTACTCCAGCCTGGGCAACAGAGACTCCGTCTCAAAAAAAAAAAAAAAAAAGTGTCCCATAAGAAATTGAAGAAACAAAAACTCATGGCATGAGCATTGATTTAGCATAAAATAAAAGCAAAACCAAAAAGAAGTTGTTCACCCTAGGGAGAGTAGCTGAATTAGAAAGTGAAGAGAGGATACAGGAAATATTTTGCTTTGTCTCACAAGAATATGTTTTATGTATTATTAACTAAAATATATGTTTAAAAGTTCTATTTTTTTTTTTTTTTTTTTTGCGGCAGAGTTTCGCTCTTGTTACCCAGGCTGGAGTGCAATGGCGCGATCTCAGCTCACCGCAACCCCCACCTCCTGGATTCAGGCAATTCTCCTGCCTCAGCCTCCTGAGTAGCCTGGATTACAGGCACGAGCCACCATGTCCAGCTAATTTTTTGTATTTTTTAGTAGAGACGGGGTTTCACCATGTTGACCAGGATGGTCTCGATCTCTTGATCTCGTGATCCACCCGCCTCGGCCTCCCAAAGTGCTGGGATTACAGGAGTGAGCCACCGCGCCCGGCCTAAAAGTTCATTTTTACAAACTGACCAGGCAAAACAATACATTTTTTAAATAATACACTTTTAAAAACACCATAATAAGAATTTTTAGCTTATACCTTAGTTCATAATTGTATAAGTTGACCCTCCCCCCCCCATAAAAGCATCTGAAGGTGAAACAGGCAAAATATTTGTTAAAAGAGACAAAAAATAGTTTTCACTTGAGGGTCTGAAACAAGAAAAGGCATTTCTAAGCTCTTTCCCCAAACATGGAAATGTAGCAAAATAGAAGCCTGTTGACAATAAATCTCTCTCTCAGCCATACCCAAAACTTACATCCTTTTCATGGCAACCATTAGTTACTTGCTGTGAAAAGTTAGTGATGGTTTAGAATCCTGTTTAACCGTTTTCTTTCTAGGATCCTCTGGCTAAGAAGTTTTTTAAAAACATCATGGCAGCAGGAGAAACCTTTATTTGTGGCTAAGTAGATGGATGCACAAAAGGACTTATATTTACAAAAAAGAAAATGACAGATGTTTCCTGGGAGTTTGTTGTATATTAACTTGATGTGAATGTGTGTGTTGGAGGAGAACAAGTGTTAAGAAATCCATGTACAAAACAAGAGCATTCTTCCCACAAACAGCGTCTGAGAAAGGCAGCTCCCATCTTTGCTTAGAAACCAACTCTTTCATTACCCTTAATTACTTACCCATGTACTTTTAAATTGAGACTCACTACAGAACATGCAGAGTTTCTACTGAACTTAATTACATTTCCCTTCATCGTCCCTGAGAGAAATGTCACCATCCAGAAATGCAGTTGCCCAGGAGGAAGTTCTAAAACAAGGACTCATCACTCCACATGCTACCCACTCCCTCCCCCACACCTCTCATCTTACCAAGTAATACCCAGATACATGATTTCCTGGCTTAAACTGGCTGCAGCAGTAAGAAGGGAAGTTCGTCATGTGTTACTGCAAAGTAAATCTCTATCATCTGCATAATCTTGTGGGAGAAGGGAGAAGGTGCATTGCTGGCTATTAGAAAAGTCATTTTTAGAATAATGAAACTCTATAATGATATTATAAACATATAGATTTCAGGCCCAGATAAAACGGAACATTTAGCCAGATCGACAATTTTGAAGTCTAAAGGTCACTGAGATATTCAAAAACATAGAGTCCAGACACCTCAAGTTCAAATTTCAATTTACATCTTGTTTGTAAGTTAGAAAGATAACCACTAGCAGAATTTTAAGTAAAATGAACAGATCTTCACAGCATGGATAGGTGATAAGGTCTTGGGGCGAAGTATATATCATATCTACCCGTGCAACTCTACTTACCATTAATTAAATAGGTTTTGGCAGAGGGAAAACGTAAAATTGGAAGATAAATAAACTGGAAATGTAAATAAACACTGGGGCCGTGGGTGAGGAGGGGGATGTGGGTTTTAGGGAATAAACCTGCCTGAAATACAGCAGATTCAGATAAACATGGAAGGATCTCACACTTTCATTGGTTTAAAAATGCACCTTACTGTGTAGGAGGAGAAATTCACTAGGTAACAAACAAAGCACTTAGAAGGAATTGTTTCTCTGCTACTCTCTGTCTCACTCACCTTTTGCTGGAGAGAGGAGACCTACTTGCAAGGTATCAGCCACAGAAAAAGCAGGAAGGACGAGCCAGGGATGGAAACTGGAGCTGCAAGGCGCTTTTAAAGAAAAGCCAGGACAGCAGGAGGTATTGGGCAGGGGCGAGGGAGGCAGCACTGTTTCACTGTCATTAAAGACCAGAAAGGACCATCTGGGATGAACTGAGGCTCCGTAGCAGACTGACCTCACCGTCACAGAGCTCCAAGTACTGGCGGGCAAGACCTTGTGCCTTCCACATCCCACTTACATGGCAAGAGCTTTGCCAACCAACAGGACTTAGTGACTGATGCAAATTTTAAAAAAATAAGTAAAAAGCTTTGATGTGGAGGTTTTAACATCCTCTCCTTTCGTGTATCTGTTCTTATTTTTCTCAGATGCTTAAGAAAGCCAAGGGGGAAAAAAAGCTACAACTAGAAAACGGGTAGAAACAACTTCTCTCTTTGTCTAAGCAAATCAAAGCCTTGCTTGGAAGACTCATCTGTCAGTTCCTTGCCTTGTCATTTCTAATACAGAGTTTCCCAACTTTCTACAGTACAAAGCCACTCTGTCCTCATCTGAAGGGTGATGCTCGGGAGGTGAGGGTTGGGGACAGATGAGAATCCTAGCTGGACAGAGCTACTGAGCAGATACCCTATAAGGAGTGTGTGTGAGTGTGTGTGTGTGGGTGTGTGTGTGCCCATGCACGTGTTTGATGAAAGGCCGTTGCTTTTTTTCTTCATGTTTCTAGGGCAAGATAGCAAAGAGAACTATATAGGGCAGATAAGTAAGGAAATTATTATGTATGAGTAAAACACAGTAAGCATAAGCTCCATGAATGGAGGAATTATGTGTGGCTTTTTCCTTGCTATTACCTACCATCTGCTGCAATGGGGCACACGGTAGGTGTTCCATAAACATATTTTCAATTGGTCATGTGAAGTAGTAAGAAACACTAAGAATTCTGAGAATAGGGCTAAATTAAATAGAATGCCTTCTGATACCTCCAGTCAGCACCTCAAATACAGCCTGACTCAAATAGCCATTGTTGGCCAGGTGCAGTGGCTTATGCCTGCAGTCCCAGCACTTTGGAAGGCCGAGGCAGGTGGATCACTTGAGGTTAGGAGTTTGAGACCAGCCTGAGAAACATGGTGAAACCCTGTCTCTACTAAAAACACGAAAAATTAGCTGGGTATGATGCTGCACGCCTGTAACTTGGGAGGCTGATGCAAGAGAATCGCTTGAACTCAGGATGCGGAGGGTGCAGTGAGCCAAGATCACACCACTGCCCTCCAGCCTGGGCAACAGAGCAACACTGTGTGTCAAAAATAAATAACAGCTGTTGTGATCACACCTGACTCTAAACCATTAGGGGCAGTGTAGAGCAGGTTGTGCTGTGCACACAGACTGCTTATTTTCATAGACCACCTGGGAAATGGAGCTAGGGATCTATCATTTTGTGTTTGATGTACTCTGAGCAAAGACATTTTGCAAAATGTTCAGGACAATATGCAGAGAGGTGATAAATACATGAATCATCACGATAATCACACAGCATATATTAAATGCTGTAGCGATATTTTGCATGTAGAATTCCAACAGCTGCAAGATCAGTTACATAATACTTTCAAGCCTTTCTCCTTGTGATGCTGACTCTCATTTTAACATGTTCTTTGAATGACCTGTCCACTCCTTTCTCAACTTAGTGGTTCCCCAAGAAGAACTGTACAGTCTCCTTCTAAAATACTTGTAATTCTCCAAACTGCTTCCAAATACTAGAGAAGAAAGCAAGAAGGCATCATAACTGATAAATTGATCCTTAAAGTAACAGAAATAAATAAAACAATAATAGCTATGATTAAACATATGATTAAAATTCTAGTACTTGACCAAAGTTAAGTATACTCCCATTAAGGAATATGTTTACCAATTTCCTCTACTTACACGTTCATTTCCTGCACATTCTCAGCTGCAAAATAAAAGGTCTTGATCTGTGGATGGCTGATCTTAAAAGCACTTGAAGGAAGAAAAGCACAAACACATAAAAAATTAGTGTTTATAGTCGACAGTGGGTCTGAAAGTAAATCAGTCCAATATAAGCTTCGTAAACTTGTCTGCTTTCTTCATAAATTGACAAAAAAATAATTTTGTAACATTACATAACTATTGTCTAGTCTCTGTTTTGTATAGGGAACTGAGAGTCATTTCTTTTACAACAGAATATCCAGAACAGGGCTGAGTCTTAGATGGCCAGTCGTTTCCATTTAGAACACATAAGAATATCCTTTCCTTTTTACTGGCTAACTGCTTTGCTATAAAGATACAATAAATTAAATTTTAAAGTGATAGAAATGTTACTTCAAAATATTCAGACCAACTACTTCAAGCGAGTTATTTCTTCACATTCAATCAAATATGCAGAAGAATATTTTATTTAAAAAAATAGTCAGGTATGGAACATCCACTCTGTGTCAACACATTGGAAATCTTATCCAAGGCACCCTTTGTTAGTGAAGGAGAAATATGAAGAAAAGTACAAAACATTGAAGATAACAAACAAGAAAGTGCTTCCACCCTACCCTTTAAACAGGAAGCCCTGCAGCACTGCACAGGCCAGCGTTTTTGTAAATAGCCAGTACTTTTAAAACCACAAGAATCAACTCTGGACATGTGCAACCACACCAGAGACAAAGGCTTAAAGCTAACACAAGTTTACTAATTTTGTTAGAAGAAAACTACTCCATTGCTGCAACTAGTAACATAGGACAAAAGGAATGCCCCTTTCTAATAAGACTGGAAAAGAGGTCAAAAGTAGAAGAAATAATAAGAAAAAGGCAAAAATGGACACGTATGCAAAATACAGCAGACTGCTATCATGGATGAGCACTTGAACGGGAGTCTAGATGCCTGGGTATAGAGCCAGCTCTTTCCTGAGCTGTAAGCAGGTCACAGGCTCTTTGGGCTGCTTCCTTCTCAGGAAAACCAAGACCATGAGCTGGGGATTTATTTGGTCCCTGTCAGTTCTCAAATCTTTTGGATGTCAGAGTGTAATCTCCAAGCTTAAGACATCTCAGAAAATTCAGTTCCAAGGGTGCATCTGACAACTCCACGAACGAAGAAAGAGAAACTGGTCTTGATGGCATATCTGCAACTCAGTGAGTCCTATTTAACTGCTTGTTCTTCTCTTTACTAGGACAGACGCTTGACACCTGACCTCCCTGCCAGTCCTGAAAGGGGTTTATTCCATCACAGACACAGTCATCAACAACAGTCCATGCCAAGGCTTCAAGGGGGTTTTAAAATCCATCTGCTCAACAAAACGAAATTCCAGAAAATTAGAGGTTAAATGCTTCTATTTCTATTTAGGGTGCCAACCCATAATGCTCAAAATTCTCAGATATTCGGCTATTACCTTCACTCACTTCTAAATCGCCATATCACTTGGTGAATATTATGAAGAGATAGTATCCTGGCTCAGAGTTTTGTGGAAGATGAGAAACAACTTACTGCTTTTTCTTGCATTCAGATGCTCTTTCCACAGTGAAATCAGGCAGGTTGACAAATCCGTCAGCTTTCTCTGCCTGAAACAAACACATACCACAAATAGGAATGAATGCATCAATCCGGGGTATTAGTGTATTGAGATCATGTACATAGAATAGGGATGGTATAAATGAATGAGGGAGAATCAAGAGATAACACCCTGAATCACCATGGAGGTATCCCAGATATACAGTTCATGAGAAAAATTAATGTTGTTCTGATAAGTCACCCAGAATCTTGCCATGACTAGTGACATGGCATGGCACAGCTTAGGGATGGTCACCATACGGCAGGCATAGGACCTGCCTCCCCCTGACTCCTGTGTCCGTAGAAAACATAGCTAACCCAACAGAGTCTTATGTCTGCTGAGCCCATTAGTATCCACAGCATATTCTCTTCCTCCCACTCTAGTCAGCTAGCACATAGGAAGAAACCTAACTAGCATTCTTGGCATATATGGTGCCCAGAGTCCTGACTTTGGAGTTAGCAAATCTATATTCCTATCATGGATCGACCAGTTAGTGATTGTTGTGATTTAAATGAGCTCACATAAATAAAACAACTAACAGTCACTCAACAAACATTATTTCCTCTCCCAAGTCTGTAGGCAGGGCCTTGGGGATTAAATCACAGAACTACATCTTTCAGAACCTCAGTCCCATCATTGATTGCTGGGGGTTCTTTCTACAAAGAAAAGACTACAGAAGAAAATTACATTTTTGAAGACTTAGCATACATGTCACTTTACATCACCAAAACAAATGTATAGGAAATGTAACCGCTGTCCCACCTCTCCAAGAATTTGTTAATCTGTGCTTTACTAATAAAGTTTAACTGAGCCACAACGAAGCGAGGTTGTTTGTCACCCACAGAACTCAAATCTTCTTTCATCTACACTTGTGTCTCTGAGTAGGGAATAGAATCTACAAGACTAAACATAGATGAAACTGTGGTTATTGGGAGATGAGTAAAAATTGATTTTGAAAACACAATCTTAATTTTGCAAGTCAGCTAGCCATTAAGTTAGCACCATGGGTGCTTTTAATTTACTTCATCACTCTGCCCTTCCCTTTATGGCCAACTAGAGTACAACTTGCATTCTTTTCTTCAGAAAAATTAAACTGTGAGGCATCCAACCCTAGGCCCATCTTCCTCTCTTATGTGACTCAACTCATCTAAATTCTTCACCTGAAACGCCTTCCTCTTGTAAGATTCAAAACTCAAGGCTGGGAGCAGTGGCTCGCGCCTGTAATCCCAGCACTTTGGGAGGTCAAGACAGGTGGATCACTTGAGGTGAGGAGTTTGAAATCATCCTGGCCAACAAGGTGAAACCCCATCTCTACTAAAAATACGAAACAGTTAGCTGGTTGTGGGTGCCTGTGGTTTCAGCTACTTGGAAGGCTGAGGCAGGAGGTCAGCTTTGAACCCAGGATGTGGAGGTTGCAGTGAGCCAAGATCGCGCCACTGCACTCCAGCCTAGACACCAGGCTCTGTTGTCCAGGCTTTTTTTTAGACTTTGTCTTTAAAAAACAAAATACCAGGCACGGTGGCTCACACCTGTAATCCCAGCACTTTGGGAGGCCGAGGCAGGCAGATCATGAGGTCAAGAGATTGAAACCTCCTGGCCAATATGATGAAACCCCAGCTACTCGAGAGGCTGAGGCAAGAGAGTTGCTTGAACCTGTGAGGCGGAGGTTGCAGTGAGCTGAGATCGTGCCACCGGACTCCAGTCTGAACAACAGAGTGGGACTCTGTCTAAAAAAAAAAAAAAAAGATTCAGAACTCAGTCTAATGGATACTCTCTTCTTTAAATATTGTATATGCATATGTGTGTATACAGAGTGAATATGTATTCATTCATATGTATATTATATATATGCAGCTTCTCTCTTGACAGGCTGCTTAATTACTGGATGGTGATTCCCAAAGAGAAGGTAAGGCATTCAAAGAACACAGACTAAGCCAACTTTTTGTACTATGCACAGTGCTCCCTGTGGATTCCCAATTAGCCTTACCAAAGAAGTATAGTTTTGAAAAACTATGTCAGGTCCATCAATTCCACTTTTAGATCTACAGACTGAGTATCCCTTATTTGAAATGCTTGGGATTGGAAGTGTTTCACATTTCAGATTTTTTCTGATTTGGGGATATTTGCATATACAAACAAGTCAAGCATCCCAAATTTGAAAATCCAATACCCAATGAATACTCCCTTTGAGCATTCATGTTGGTGCTCATAAACATTCAGATTGTGGAACAGTTTGAATTCAATCTTTGGATTACAGGTGCTCAAGTATATGCCCAAAGGAACTGAAAAAGGGTACTCAAATACATGTGTAGGCATGTTCACAAAGCACTATTCACAATAGCCAAAAGGTGAAGACAGCCCAAATGCCTGTTAACAGATAAATGGATACAGTGATTGTGCTATATCTATACAATGGGATATTATTCAACCTTAAAAAAGAATAAAGTGCTAACACACTCTACCTGGATGAACCTCGAAAACCTTGTGTTAAATGAAAGAAACTAGACACAAAAGCTCATCTCTCATATGATTCCATTTATATGAAATATCCAGAAGTGAAAATCAGAGAGACAGAACACAGCTAATGGGTAGCTACCAGGGGCCCAGGCAGTAGGAAATAGGGAACACTGCCCAATGGGTATGGGGTTTCCTTTTGGGGTGATGAAAATGTTTGGGATCTAGATAGATAAGGGGGTTGCACAACATTGTCAATGTATTAAATGCCACTGAATTGCTCATAATGTTAGATTGTATGACTTTCATCTCAATTTTAAGACCCTATGTTAGGCTAAGGTGTTTTTATGTACATTTCCATAATTGATTTAGAAAAAAAAAATCACTTAAATTCAGCATTTGTTTCTACTTCCTCCTCCCATTCATTTCTATACTCACTGTTCCAGAGAAACTGTAGAGACCAAAACTCCACTTAACTCTCATGTTGCTAAATCTCACCTAATATAATTAGCCCTCACTTAATTGAACTGTAAGTGATGCTATAGTCTGTTCCTTCCCTCTGAAGCTGCCCTCCTATTGTGGCCTTTTTGACAGCACATTACTGCTGCTCCTCTTTTTCCTCTAACTATGTCTTCTCTTTCAGGGGTCTTGTTCTCCTGTCTGTTTCTCAAATGTCAGTTCCCCAGAGTTCTGTCCACAGACTTATTTTCTTTCTGTTCCAATATTCTCTATGGATGATCATACACACCCTCATGGCCTCACCTGTCATCACTGTACACACATATCCAAAATCCATACCTTGTATCATGACTGTACACATATATCCAAAATCCATATCTCAAATTGGGATTTCATCCTGGAGCTCCTGTCCCAGATTTCCAACTGCCTCGTAAACCCATTCCCATGAGCACCACCCACAAAGTAACAAACCCAAAATCAAACTCATCATCTTACTCCATAAAATGACCATTCCTTTCTCCTATGTTCTCGACTTCAGCGAAAAATACCACTTTCTAGTCAGTTACCAAAACAGAGCTTCTGAGAGATATCTCCATCTCTTTCATTCCCTTCTCAGAGACCCTGCAGGTAAACTCAAAGTTGTATCATTGCTGCATCTGCTCAGGTCTTCAGTCTATCCATTACCTACTACCTCCTTCAACTTACCAATAATGTTTTCTTGAATTACTGCAAAAGTCTCCTAAACTGTTCTCCTTCTCTATAATTCTGCCCTTTCATCGAATGTAGTGTCCAAATCACAGACACAGTCACAGCAAATCTTTACATCATGAACATTCTTCATGACACTGTTTGATTAAATACCCTGTGTGGTGTGCAGGTCAAGTCTAAATGCCTTAGCAGATGATAAAAGACCTTTATAATCATGCCCTGACTGGTTCCACACTTTCATCTTTCCCCCTCTCCCATTCAACCAAAAGACAAGCAGAAAAATCAAAACAAAGAAAAAACAATACTTCTATGGAGCTGAATTAGAATTAGCATGATTTGTTTCTAGACAACTTATTTTCAGTAAAGTAAATCTATCTCAAATGATATACTGCAAAAATCAGTCAACAAAAATGTAACATACCTATATACGCTTTTAGTAATATTTCTATTCATCTAAAAATAAAATCAGCCAGGCTCCGGGACTCACGCCTATAATCCCAGCACTTTTGGAGGCCAAGGTGGGAGGGTCAGTTGAGCCCAAGAGTTCAAGACCAGCCTTGGAAACATGGTGAAATCCCATCTGTATAAAAGTATAAAAGTTAGATGGGCATGGTGGCATATGCCTGCATTCCCAGCAAGTTGGAAGAGTGAGGTGGAAGAATCACCTGAGCCTCAGGAGGTGGAGGCTGCCATGAGTCGTGATTATACCACTGCACTCCAGCCTGGCTGACAGAGTTGGACTGTATCTCAAAATAATAATAATAGTAAATTTAATTAAAGCAATGTAAAAAATAAATTGTAAATCTTCATGTGGGTGGATTCCTTTTCTGATTAACTGAAACAGCTGAGATTCCCTTAAATAGGAGCCTAAATAAGTTTGGATGAAAACACCTTAGTGTTTCCCCAGGAAATTATCACTTTATAAGCAAAGGCTTTTTAAAAAAATTCTGAAGACAGTTGAACTATATTCAAAATCACAGATAATTTGTGTCAAAAATGGTCCTTGCTTATTTGACTTGCAAAAAAAAAATGCCTCAAAAATGACAATCACAGAGGGCAAATCCTGAGAGAATGACAGTTTTCTTCTCTTTCTCCTCCTTTTCCTCCTCCTACGCTTCTCCAGATCCCTTGTTGCCTATTATATTAACTAAAATAACTTTGTTGAATGTGATCCTTCTTCTTCAATTCCTAACTTTCTAAAAGTGTCCTGCAGGTGGCCGAGCGGGGTGGCTCACACCTGTAATCCCAGCATGTTGGGAGGCCGAGGCAGAAGGATCACTTGAGCTCAGAAGTTCAAGGCCAGCCCAGGCAACATAGGGAGAACTTGTCTCTATTAAAAAAAAAAAAAAAAAAAGAAAGAAAGAAAAAAGTTTCCTCCAGGTTCTGTACTGGTACCTGCAAGCTTCCCTTAAAATCCTGATGTAATAAAAAACTTGTTTTTTGGCCGGGCGCGGTGGCTCACGTCTGTAATCCCAGCACTTTGGGAGGCCAAGGCGGGTGGATCATGAGGTCAATTGATTGAGACCATCCTGGTCAACAGGGTGAAACCCCGTCTCTACTAAAAATACAAAAATTAGCTGGGCATGGTGGCACACGCCTGTAGTCCCAGCTACTTGGGAGGCTGAGGCAGGAGAATTGCTTGAACCTGGGAGGCGGAGGTTGCAGTGAGCCGAGATCCCGCCATTGCACTCCAGCCTGGGTAACAAGAGCAAAACTCCGTCTCAAAAAAAAAAAAAAAACTTGTTTTCCTGCCAGAGGTATCAAACCCATCCTTTGGACATTGTGCAAACTTGTCTTTCCAAATCTAGTCTTAAATTCAGAAGAAACACATTCCTTTTCACTTTGTTGTAGATGTTCTGTGATCTCAAAGGCCTTTTTCCTCACAGTTCAGCTCCTTTGCTTTTCCCAGCGTGCCTGATTTTGTTCATCTCAGTAGAGAATCACGTGCAGTTGCTGTCATTAGGCTGCATTAAATACACATTTCTATCAAAATGATTGGTGTTAAAACATTAAGGGGTAAACATAAAGGTTGCTGATCATCTCTGTGATGTTGTGAATCACATCTATAGTACTTATGTCTCCTTTAAACACTCTGCTCTTGGCCGGACGTGGTGGCTCATGCCTATAATCTCAAATGCTTTGCGAGGCCAAGGTGGGAGGATTACTTGAGACCAGAAGTTCAAGGCTGCGGTGAGCTGAGATGGCGCCCCTTGCACTCCAGCCTGCGCTACAGAGTGAGATCCAGTCTCAAAACAAACAAAAAAACACTCAGTAAAGGGCTCCAGGGTGTGAGAGAGGCAGCTTTCCTCCTGCTCCCTGGCCCTGTAATGCCCTTCTTATCTCATTCCTCTAGATAAGTTTCTGGAATTCAACTTAGGTGTGACAATCTCCAAAACTTTCTCCCTGTTCCCTTAAGCCTGGACTAGGTACCCTCCCGTCTGCCTCCAGCCCCAGACGCAGACCTCCCTTACAGGACCTCTCTTAATATATTTAGTTATCTGGTTGTTTGTCTGCTTCTCCAACAGACTGTGAGTACCTTGAAAGAAATAACTGTGTTGCTCATATATATTATTTACAAGGTGTGGAATAAATACATGTGGAATAAATAATTTTGTGAATGAATGATGGGACTATAATTTTTTTCCTCTGACAATAAAGAAATTGTTAAAATGAGATGCAGAAGGCAGTGTGGAAAACAGTTTGGCAGTTTCTTAAAAAAAAGTAAGCATTTAATTACCAGACAGCTGAGCAATTCTGCTCCTAGGTATCTACCCAAGAGAAATGGATGCAAATGCCCATGCAAAGGTTTACATGCAAAGCGTTATAGCAGCATTATTCATAATAACCCAGAACTGGAAACCACCTAAATGTCCATCAACTACTAAATAGAGTATGGCACAGCCATACGATGAAATGCTATTTAATAATGAAAAGCAGCAAACCACTGACACATGCTGAAACGTGGATGAACCTTGAAAACATTCTGCTAAGTGAAAGGGAAACACAAGAGATCACATGTGACTGTGTGATTCCATTTCTATGAAATATTCAGAAAGGGCAATTCTATAGAGACAGAAAGCAGGACAGTGGTTGCCTGAGGTTGGGGTGGAAATTAATTGTAAATGGGCATAAGGGACCTTATTGGTACAATAAAAGTTATTTAAAACTGATTTATTATGATAGTTGCATCACTTGGTAAATCTACCAAAAATGAACTGCAAATTTGAATAGAGTGAACTTTATGATACATAAAATGTACCTTGATAAAGCTGTTTTTAAAAAGATGAGGTGCAGAAAAAGTTTGGAGAATAATATGCAAATTAAATCTCTCCCAGTTGGCTATCAGTGATACTTGGAAGCAGGGGAAATATGAAGCTTCTGACAATCCCACTGACAATTCAGCATGATTTGTTCAAACATAGATACAAAATTAGGTTTATATTTCCAATACCACATGGTTTAAGCTTAACTATGGTTTCAAGCTTGGACTATAGGAATTTTAGAGACATAAATATTTTATGCAGTATTCACCATACTTCAGACATTTTTAAAGATTAACTAAAACAGAACATTAGATTTTAGTGTTTAGCAGAGCACAGAGGCTTTTTAGGACAGTGAAAATACACTGTATTTTTATAAAGGTGGATATATGTCATTACACATTTGTCCAAACACATAGAATGTACAACACCAAGAGTGAACCCATAGGAACTATGGAGTCTGGGTGACAACAATATGCCAATGTCAGTTCATCAATTATAAGCGGGGATATTGGTAATGGGGAGGCTGCACATGGGTATGGGCAGGGAGCACATGGGAAATCTCTGTACCTTCCTCTAAAACTGCTCTAAAAAATAAAGTCATTTAGAAGTTAACTAAAATAGGACATCAGATCTTAGAATTTAAATGCAAAAATAAGTGTTCATTGCCATGATAACAGTTGGCCTTTTCATACCACAAGTGTTTTGGAAAATATACAAAATTACTTAATAGGTACCTACACATGTCAGGAAGACAGAAAGGCTGACTAGGAGGAACGAGAGTGATGTGTATTCCCGAGTCTAAGTAGGTCGAAGAAGACCAAGCCAGAAACAGATGAATGGTAATATAGGAAACTGTCATGTAGTTCCTGGTTAAAAAATGAAAAGCAATATTATCTCTCTATTTTCAGTGGAACCATAGTTCCTTGATTCTAAAAACCTGATTACTTTACACTTCAATAATTCTGAAATCAAAAGGCACCTTAGAATCCATGTATATTTTCATTGCAACATTTTCTCCCCTAAAACCTGTTATTAAATAAATTATAGGTCTTAAATAGAATCTTGAATTCAAGAAAAAGAATAGCTAAAAATGATAAAGGTTTCTTTGTAATATACTTTTGTGTTTTTAAGTGAATATAGAATTGAAATTCTTGAAATTACCTTAAGCAAATTTAACAAGGTTACCCAATGACTATCTGAATCAGGAGAAGCTGCAAAGTCTCCGTTTCTCCATATCAATCTATTGTTTTCTCAGTTATTCCCCCAAACCCCCAGGGAATCGGAAACAGATGAGGTCTAAACTCTGAGCTGAGCTGCCCATTCTCATGCCACCTTAGAACGGTTGTCACTAGATTCTCACACTACACACAGACTCACAACCACTAGAGAAATGTGAATTATATTCTTTAAAATAGAAAGTAAAAGTACATGGAGATTGAAGAAAAGGTGAGATAAAATTAACTGTAAAAGTTCCAGTTCTATGGAGAAACAGTCATTCTCATACCTTGCTGATAGTAACACAAAATGGAACCCGACAGGAGGAAGGTGGATAGTAATCAGCAAAATACACTTGCCCATTGACCCAGAAATTCCTCTTCTGGGATCTGTCCTAAATATACCTTGGAGAATATGTGGAATGATATATGCATTGCAGCATTGTTTGTATTTACAAAGGACCGTAAAGAATGCAAATGTCTATCATCAGAGGACAGTTGAATACACTGTAGTATCCACACCGGGTGAATAACTATGAAAAACGCTGTACAGCATGTAGAGCAAGGTCCAGGACATAGTGCAACAAAAGGCAAGGTGCAGTACTATAGATGGAATACGCTAATTTTGTGTAAGAAAGGAGGATGGAATTTGATTCACTATACATACTTGCTGTATGTGCAAAAAGAAGCATGGAAAAATAAACCAAAAACAAACGGAAAAGGGGGAAGAACAAGGATAGAGAACAGAGATGCAAGGGGGATTGACTTGGTTGTTACTTGTTACAGTTTTGACTTTGGAACTGGGTACATGATTGATTTTTTAAGTCAAAACAAACACAAAAAGAAAAGCAATTCTCAAAATCAAAAACGAATAGAAATGGCCAACGCAGTGGCTCACGCCTGTCCCAGCACTTTGGGAGGCCGAGGTGGGAGGATCACGAGGTCAGGAGACCATCCTGGCCAACATGGTGCAGCCCCTGTCTCTATTAAAAATCCAAAAATTAGCTGGGTGTGGTGGTGCATGCCTGTAATCCCTACTCCTCTGGAAGCTAAGGTATGAGAATCACTTGAACCCAGAAGGTGTAGGTTGAACCGAGATTGCACCACTGCACTCCAATCTGGCAACAGAGGGAGACTCTGTCTCAAAAAAAATAAAAAATAAAAAAAACAAATAGAAATGAACCTAATTGAATGTAAACATGGTGACATAACCCCACACAAATAATCATTGCTCTGAGAGACGACAGAATTTTAACTATGCATACTTCATGGCATACAGGCTAAGTAAGGATTCTTCGTAGTAACATGTTGTCATTTTTACCTAGTCTTGGTAGATTTTTTCCTTTCTTCCCCTCTAAAATTGCACAGAATCTAAAGTTTCCCTCCTTCTCTCCATACAATAGCATCTATGACATTGCAACTCATCTGCCCCTTCCTTTCAGAAAAGATAATGTGAAGATTAGCACAACAATGCAATCTACATTCTGCAACTATCACAGAGAGCCGCACGTATTCTCATCAGGCGGTGACAAGCACTGCACCAAAAGCAAGAAGAAATGTTTGTGTTTTATTTTCTTCTAGATATCAGAAGTAGGCCTGGTAGGGAGCGTGCTTGGATTTCTTTTAAAAAATATAATAATCTTGAGTAACACAGAATAAGACCTAACGTTTATTGAGCGCTAAGTGTATGCCAGTGAGACAGTACTATGATCACAGCCTTGAGAGGAAATGAATCCCATGCCAAGTGCCAGAGCCTAGAATGCCAAACTAGCCTGGCATTATAACATGGGAACCATTGTGTGCTATTAATAAAGAGCCAGGACTCAGACCAGGACCCAGCAACCAGTCGACTAATTCTAAAGACGAGACTGAAGAAATTCTTCAGAGCTAAAACAGGCTCAGAAACTAAAATTGGAGGAGGAAAGGATCTGCAGTCAACACATGGCACAGAAAAAACAACCCCGGATTTGGAGTCAATGCCTCAATGCAAGCCACATACTGTGACATCCCAGGCAGAGGACTTAACCTCTCTGAGTCACTGTCCTCACGGTGAATAAGCAGCTATAACCAGCTTCTCCAGACAAAATGGAAATTAACATAGATGTGTGTAATAATGTAAGATTTGTTAAAGCTGTAAAAAAATCCAAGGTTTTATTATTAGTTCTGAGGAAAGCAGGAAAAGGGATTAAAAGAAAACAAAAGAGAAGGTGTGACCCAGAAAAAAAATTAATGTAAAAGAAGCTTTTTTTTTTTTTTTTAGACGGAACCTCAGTCCAGCCTCTTGTCACCCAGGCTGGAGTGCAATGGCACTATCTCATCTCACTGCAACCTCTGCCTCCTCGGTTCAAGTGATTCTCCTGCCTCAGCCTCCCAAGTAGCTGGGGTTACAGGCACATGCTACCATGCCCAGCTAATTTTTGTATTTTCAGTAGAGGCAGGGTTTTGTCATATTGACCAGACGGGTCTCAAACTCTGGTCTCAAGTGATCTGCCCCCATCAGCCTTCCAAAGTGCAAAATAAGCTTTGTGACTGCGTGCATTTTAAGCTGAGCCCTCTGACTAGCTGTTCTGTGTCTCAGCTCTCCTCTCTTTTCTTTGCATAAGATTAATGGTCAAAAAACAACATTTTAGATTATTTGGAGAACAATAATGCTAGCAAACTTGCTATAGTCTCCATATATTATTAGGGTGTATTTTTACTAAAATATTGTTGCATTTCAGTTTAGCTAACATTGCCCTATGAGTAGAATTAGATTTAGATCCAGAGAGAGTTTTTTCTTACAAACACCTAGAAATAGATTCTCTACGTAGACATTTGGCAAAAGTTTTTGGCTAGAAGAAAAGACCCAATTTCCTACAGAAACCAGAGATTCTTGGCATTGATTATAAAAACAGATGGAAAGCATTGATTATGCTAATGATGATGGTTCTGGGGATACTGAGGCTCGAACAGGGTGAAGAGGGGAGGGCTCTGTGGTAAGATCACTTACTCCCAGTGATCCTGACTCATGCTCTGTCCTTACCATCCAGGACACAATGGCAAGACTTCCTGCCACCAGCACCTGCATCTCCTTGTGAGGAAGCTTCTCTGGCTGCCCGATTCCACTCTTCCAGCTGTGCAGAGGTGCCCAGAGATCACGGCCCCTGGGATGGGCTCTCAACCAGTGGCTGATGGGACTTGGGGCAGAAATGCCATCAGCTAGACCGGATCTATGGCTCACACCTGTAATCCCAGCACTTTGAGAGGCCAAGGCAGAAGGATCTCTTGAGGCTAGGAGTTCAAGACCAGCCTGGGCAACATAGTGAGACATCTCTCTAGAAAAACATACAAAAATTAGCAAAGCACAGCAATGTGCACCTGGAGCCTCAACTATGCAGGAAGCTGAGGAAGGAAGACTGGCTGAGCCCATGAGTTTGAGGTTGTAGTGAGTTATGATCACAGCACTGCACTCGAGCCTAGATGACAGTGAGACCTCATCTCTAAAAAAAAGAAAAATATACAAATAAATAAATAACTATCCCAGTTCCTTTTTCCCTTAGTGTGAAAACTCTGGAGTACATGTTTTTTACAGACTCTCAGAGATCCCCAGAAGAATGAAGTTTTGGTTACCTACAGGGTTACTTACACTGCCTACTACGGAGAACTTTTTAAACTAACTTTTCTACCCTCTCTCACTTCCCTGTTTGCTTTCCAAGTATCTCCTGGATCACTTCTCAAGTAAACTGCTTGCACCCAAATTCTCTTCTCAAGAATCTGCTTCTAGGAAACCTAAACCAAGATGCTATTCCCCTCGCAGAAAGCATTCCCACCCGTGAAAAGCCCAACTGCTTAGCACAACAATCCCTCCTTATTTCCTCCTGAAAGTCAACTAAGCAGCCGGGTATGGTGGCTCATGCCTGTAATCCCAGCACTTTGGGAGGCCAAGGCAGGTGGATCACCTGAGGTTGAGAGTTCAAGTCCAGACTGATCAAATTGGAGAAACCCTGTCTCTACTAAAAATGCAAAGTAAGCTGGGTGTGGTGGCACATGCCTGTAATCTCAGCTACTCAGTAGGCTGAGGCAGAAGAATCACTTGAACCCAGGCGGTAGAGGTTGTGGTGAACTGAGATTGCGCCTCTGCACTCCAGCCTAGGCAACAAGAGCGAAACTCTTATCTCCAAAAAAAAAAAAGTCAACCAAGGATATGACTATCTCACTATCTTGTTAGGTCATGTTTAGGTGGTGACCAAGTGGCTGGTATCCTGTTCTATGCTTTGTAAGTCACCTCTCCTAGCTAGCCACTCACATTCTTTCATTCTCTCCTTATGGAGAAGGAGGGAAAGGGCTCTGAAGTAAGGAGACCACTTGTAGCAAAATCATATTTTATGTGAAATTAAGTTACTAGCGAACTTTCAGGTAGTCTGACACACAAAGATAGTAATTACCTTCTGAAATGTAATTTTCAAAAATGATTAAGATGGAAACCTCAAAATTTAAAAGAGTTTTGTGTGATTGTTCTTGTGGTGTGAAATCCTTAGCTTCTGCTCAGGCTCATCTCTGCCCTATTCTTTTGGAAGCCCGAAGTCCACAAATGTGCTATTGTTTTCACATAGATACGTTGGTCTTTGCAGCAGCGTAGTCAAAAAAGAAAAAAAAAAAAAACAATACATATGAAGGAAAGGTTTTAAATGAATTGGAAGAAATTACATAAAATCTCACCATTGTACACTAATTTTTATCTCTTGCTGTCTAATACATCTGCCATCCATGGTTATTGCATAAACTGGGGAAGAATAGATAAAAGAGCACCATTTAAGAAAATTTATGCTGGGTGCAGAGGCTCATGCCTGTAATCCCAGCACTTTGGAAGGCTGAGATGGATGGATCAGCTAAGGTCAGGAGTTCAAGACCAGCCTGGCCACCATGGTGAAACCCCATCTCTACTAAAAATACCAAAAATTAGCCGGATATGGTGGTGGGCACCTGTAGTCCCAGCTACTCAGGAGGCTGAGGCAGGAGAATCACTTTAACCTGGAAGGCGGATGTTGCAGTGAGCCAAGCTCGCGCCACTGCACTCCAGCCTGGGTGACGGAGTGAGACTCTGTCTCAAAAACAAGAAAAAGAAAAAGAAAATTTAAAATCAGGTGCATTCTCTTTCAATATTAGAGATTTAGAAGTAACGAAGATTAGGTTAGTTCTTTCAAAACCACAGTCAGTACAACACATAATCTTGCCTTCATGCAATGTAAAGTCATCAAATACTTCAGGAACTTTCAAATCTCTTCAAGCTGTTTTCATGAGTCTCATGAGTACTATTAAAATACACCACCACCACCACCACTAAGAAAATCTGGTTCAAAAATGGCAAAAGACATTTCTCTCCAGAACATATGGAAATGGAAAATAAGCACATGGAAAAGTTGCTCACTGCCACTAGTCATTGGAAAAGGCAAATCAAAACCACCGTGTGATGGTGCCTCACACCCATTAGGATGGCTACTGTAAATAATTAATTAAATAAGCGCTGGTGGCGATGTAGAGAAACCAGAACCTTTGTGCACTATTGTAGGGAGTGTAAAACAGTGTAGCTGCTATGCAAAACAGCATGGTAATTCCTCGAAAAAATTAAGATTGAACTATCATATGATCCAGCCATTCCACCTCTAGGTATAAAACCAAAAGAACTGAAAGCAGGGTTTCAAAGAGATATTTGTATCCCCATGTTCATGGCAGCGTTATTCACAATAAGCTGAAAGGTAGAAGCAACCCAAATATGAATGAATAAACATATGAATGAATGAACATACGAATGAATAAACAAATGTGGTGCACACTTCAATGGGATAGGATTCAACTTGAAAAGGAAGAAAATTCTGAGACCTGCTACCACATGGATGAACCTTGAAGATATTATGCTAAGTAAAATAGGCCAGTCACAAAAGGATAAATACTGTAGGATTCCATTTGTGAGAGGGAACTACAGTAGTTAAATTCACAGAGACAGGGAGTAGAATGGTGGTTGCCAGGCACTGGGAGGAGAAGGAACGGAGAGTTATTATTTAATAGGTACAGACTCTCAGTTTTGTAAAGAGCTCCGGAGATGGTTGATGGTGATGGCTGCATAATAATGGGAACTTATTTAATGCCACTCGACTGTACCCTTTAAAATGGCTAAGATGGTTAACTAAATTAATTTTTTTTTTAATTTTAAAGCTACTGCTCTGAACTCGTTATTATCAGTAAATAATGAAAATGCATTTGCCATGGTAAGTTTTACAAGATTCAAGGTGTGAAATCAGTGGCTGATGTGCTGTTAATGAGCACCATCTCTTTCACAGGTTACAGACATCTATTCATGCTTCCGTTGAACAGACACAGAAGCGAGGCCCAGGGATGGTGGGTGGTTTTCTAAGGCTGCCATTCTACTCCCTGTCTCTATGAATTTGACTACTGTAGTTCTCTCTCACAAATGGAATCCTACAGTATTTATCCTTTTGTGACTGGCCTATTTTACTTAGCATAATGTCTTCAAGGTTCATCCATGTGGTAGCAGGTCCCAGAATTTTCCTCCTTTTCAAGTTGAATCCTATCCCATTGATGTGTGCCCCACATTTGTTTATTCATTCAAGGAGCCTCAGCACCAGGGTAGAATCGGGGTAGAATTAAATTGGGTGCCTTCTCTTTCAAGGGAATGTAGAGGGTCTACATTCTGAGCCCAGGGATATCTTCCCCTGTAGCGTGCCCTTCTCTTGCGTCTTTTTCAATGACATTGTTTCAAACATGTTTCCCTAAATGCTGACTCCTTACAGAAATCTTAAATATTTTTTTAAACTTTCCACTGCATAGCTTCCTTTCAAAATCTTCTTGAAACGTGCTCTATGGAAGATTAAACGCAGCAGCACAGTGACAGATGAGTCTATCAGTTAAGCTTGTCTGCAGAGATGGCTGGAAGCTGACCCTTAAAAGAGCTTGCACCAGGCAGATGATAAATCTTCAAATAAAGACTTCTCAGAAAAATCCTCAAACCTAATGAAAAGTTCAGCTCATCCCATGAGCCACTTCCTATTCTGTTGCTTGGGAAATGTGCCCATACTCTCACCATTAATTCAGTGTTACCCGAACTCTTCCTCCAGGGTAGGAAACTCTGTATTGACAAGCACCCAATGTCTTCTAGTCCATTTCCCTGTCTTGTGGCTTCAAATCATCATTACACGGGGTCAGTAGGTGTATTCTTGGACTCTCCTCCACAGGACAGGTCATAGTCACTGAGAGAAACCATTCCTGGTGTCTGCAAATTCCTAGCACAATTCTTCTGCATCTTAAAATCGCAATACTTAGGCAAACGCATTGCTTTGCTTTGTACACATTCCTCTGATTTTTTTAATATTGCTTTTAGCTGCATTCAATCTTCTCAAAGTAGCTTTGAATTATGTAGAGATAGTGTTCTTGGTCAACCATTATTTGCAAGAAAATGGATGTACAGACATTTGCATCCCTGACTTAGAGCTACAAGACCTCATAATAAAGCAGGTGTCATTTGTCCCTTATACCACATGGCCAAAATCCACCTTACTGCCCTCTTGCTTGAAGAATGATTAAATTATATGCACATATACATATCTATGTATGTCTATACACATGCGTATCTCTATACATCTTAATATTTATACCACATATATCTATATATGTATCTCTATACATGTTAATATTTATACGCATATATCTATATATATGTTGATATTTATACTTACACATTTATGCATTATAAATATCAATTCAATACATATCAATTTATATTTAAGTTAGTGTGTGTGCACTTATGTACTATATTTCCTATTAACTATTTTAAATGATTTTAGGATAAAAGGCATTTTTTATTTTACATGCTATGCATTGACAAATGAACTATCATATATTCATGTGTAATTCTTACAGCCATTAGAAATGATGTGGATATACATGTATCAACATGGAAATCTGCTTACTTCTATGTATTGCTTAGTGAGAAAATCAAGTCACAACAACATCATACATAATATGATTTTATTTTTGGAGAACGTAGAAATGATAGTTGGAAACACATATATGAAAATGTTTATAGTCACGCCGTGGTAGTAGGAGCCTGTATGATCTTAATTCATTTATTTCTGTTTGCCTCCATGTGTGTCTTCTTTTTTTATTCCACTTACTTCGATTTTCAAATTTTTCCTATGAGCACATACTACTGTATAATCTTTTTTACATTTTTAATTTTAATTTTTAGTTGTTGTTTAAGAGATGCAGTCTCTCCATGTTGACCAAGCTGGTCTCAAACTTCTGGCCTCAAGTGATCCTCCCATCTCAGCTTCCCAAAGTGCTAGGATTACTGGAGTGAGCCACCACACCAAGCCCTATCGTATCATCTTTTAAAGCATTTTTCACTTACTTTAAATTTCCAAAAAGCAAGACGTTGGCTTCTATGCTTTTCATTGTTTTATTTTAAAGAAGTTGTCGAAACACCAACAAAAGTACTATGCACTGTCCACCAGAGAAAAGAGGGAGGTTGTGTCCCCTGAGTGGGCATGTCACTGCTGTGAGCTAAGACTCTCCTCTAAAATACCCCAACCACGGCATTCACTCTGGCAATGCCCACGCATATCACTGCCCTCTGAGAACAAAACAAAAGAAACCAACATTTCTTAACTCTTGCTGTTTCACTACTAATTCTGAAAAGTTTGGAAAGAATTTAAAAGAAAACAACATTGGCAACATGAGCAATTGTTCCCACATTATATGGAGTCAGCAACAAGAAGTTATTGAGAATTGCCTGTCCCAACGACAGATAATGCGACCATGAAGCTATGATGGGGAACCATTATTTTAGAAATACATTTAAGGATCTACAAAGGAAAATAATTGTTAGAACACAATGATACATTATAGACAATAAATAAACCAAATGCCCATTTAAAAAATCATTTCTAGCCAAGCGCAGTGGCTCATGCCTGCAATCTCAGCACTTTGGGAGGCCAAGGTGGGCAGATTACAAGGTCAGGAGTTCGAGACCAGCCTGGCCAATATGGTGAAACCCTGTCTGTACTAAAAATACAAAAACTAGCTGGGCATGGTGGCAGGCACCTGTAGTCCAAGCTACTCGGGAGGCTGAGGCAGAAGAATCACTTGAACCCAGGAGGCAGAGCTTGCAGTGAGCTGAGATCACACTACTGCACTCCAGCCTGGGAAACTCCATCTCAAAAAATAATAATACTAATTTCCACGCATGTGAAATTAGAATGTCAGAAGTAACAGAATTCAAGAAAGACCTCAATCATTCTCACGTTTAGGTTCTCAAATGTTAACTAAGCAAGCATTTTTACCCATTTGATCCGTGAGTCATTGTCTTGAGGTAAACCGGTAACCTACAGCTGCTGAAATGTCATGTTTTGCCCTGTCTAGACATGTCAACATTCCACCTACTCATTCTCCTGGCTAATACAAATTCTATGAACATATGTTAGCCAAAAGTTCATCAATTTCACATAATTACTTTGAATTGTCTTCACTATAGAATTTTTTTTTTGAGACGCAGTCTCGCTCTGTAACCCAGGCTGGAGTGTAGTGGCGTGATGTCAGCTCACCTCTGCCTCCCAGGTTCAAGCGATTATCTTGCCTCAGTCTCCCAAATAGGTGGGACCAAAGTCACAGCCACCTTGTCCGGCTAATTTTTATATTTTTAGTAGAGAACAGGTTTTGCCTTGTTGGCCAGGCTGATCTCGAACTCCTAACCTTCAGTGATCCGCCCACCTCAGCCACCCAAAGTGCTGGGACTACAGGCATGAGCCACCGCACCCAGCCTTGAAGAGACATTCCAAAACATTAGAATTCTGTTTGGGATACACTCAGAGGCTGGTATTTGGCTAAGACAATAAATGTGGAGTTCAAATAAATTGAAAGCCAGTAATTCTCATTTTGGTAGAAGTCTGGGAATATGCCAGTGTTCAACAATAATGTTAAATTTAATTAGTTGATTCATACAACTAATTGATTAATTAAGTAGTATAAAAATTAAGCAATTCCTTCAAAAAATACTGGCATATACTCTGTACCTACCAGCTCCTAGGATATGGAGACAGAGTTTAAATCAGACAAGTAAAGAATACATCCTCTGCTGCTTACGTTGTAGTGGGGGAAGAAAGAATATAATAAGCTATGACTAATGTATTCATAAATTCTTATATAATTTTTTGAATCTATAGTAAACTTACTCAGACATTTTCCAAAATGTATGCTAATCTGTGACTACTGATGAAAGCTCAGAAGACTTAATGTCATTTTCCTAGGGAAAATTAATCCGTTCTTTGTTTTTCTTGAGCTGAAAAAAAAAAGGTACTCCATATTTACTGAAACTTTCAGAATAGTTGCCTCAGGAAAAGAGAAAATTTTGACTTTCAAGTAACATTTTCTACAAGGGTAAATTCTGTCCAATGTAAAAAGTGATTAGATCTTCACTACAGAGATTCTCATAAAACTGATTTCAAGAAATATACCTTCCAGCCTGGTGCAGTGGCTCACACCTGTAATCCCAACACTTCGGGAGGCAGAGGCAGGTGGATCACAAGGTCAGGAGTTTGAGACCCACCTGACCAACATGGTGAAACCCGTCTCTACTAAAAAATATAAAAATTAGCTGGGTATGGTGGCATGCACCTGTAATCCCAACTACTTGGGAGGCTGAGGCAGGAGAATTGCTCGAACCTAAGAGGCAGAGGTTGTAGTGAGCTGAGATAGCACCACTGCACTCCAGCCTAGGCAACACAGGGAGACTCCATCTCAAAAAAAAAAAGAATAAAGAAAAGAAAAGAAATATACCTTCCAAAGCTAAGATCTTCTGAAATTCACTTTAAGTTACACATGCAGCTAGAGATAGAACGCATCTCATGCAAACAGTTACTTCGATCCCCAGAAACACAAAACCTTTACCATTCAAAAGGAGACATAATCACAATTGCACAGACACACTGGATTCTCAAAGAACTTTAGTCTCTGTAATATGTACTAAACTAGATATTAACCTACAAATCTCTTCAGTTTGCATAAGGTTTTTATGAAATATAGTTGAGTGATTCACTTTTTCTGGTAGAGACCCAGAGGTCCCAAGGCTTCCTTGAACTGGTGATGCAATGGCACAAATCAGTAAATGAAAACTAAAAAACACAAGTATCTAGTAATTTTATACAAGGAAACAATGTACAAAACTAAAATAAACCCAAAAAAGTAAGCAACAATGAAACTAAATGAAATTCCACACTTCTTAATCACAAACTCTTTGTCCCTCAATTTTCATCTTATTTTCCCAGTCTCCCCAGGCTCTAAAACTTGGAATCATGTTTATTTTAGCCTCAAATTGTTTGTGTCTTATATCCAAGTACTCTTTATACCTTGCCCCTTTTAATTAGCATAGTGTGTCCTAAATTCTCACCACCAGCTCTCTAGTCCAGGAACTCATATCTGAACGCCTGCATTTTCTCAACATCTCCTAACTGGCCTCTGGAAGCTCCCTTGCCCTCCAACACATTCAATTTATTGCTGCTAGGTTAATATTTTTCACATGTTAATTTCACAGGCTCACCTTCCGGTTCAAGAATAGACAGTGGCTCCCTACTGCCACATTCCTACACTATCACTACATGTCTCAGTCCCCCATACACTGGACCTAAGTCACCTCTAAATGGAGAAGTGATGTAGCCTGGAGAAAAGAGCCTGGCTTTGTTGTTGGAGAGCCTTCTTTTTTTTTTTTTTTTTTTTTTTTTGAAACTAGTCTTGCTCTATCGCCGGGCTGGAGTACAGTGGCTTGATCCCTGCCCACTGCAACTTCTGCTTTCTGGTATCAAGCAATTCTCCTACCTCAGTCTCCCGAGTATCTGGGACTACAGTCATGCACCACCACGCCCAGCTAATTTTTTGTATTTTCAGCAGAGACAGGGTCTCGCCATGTTGGCCAGGATGGTCTTGATCTCTTGACCTGGTAATCGGCCCACCTCCGCCTCCCAAAGTGCTGGGATTACAGGTTTGAGCCACCATGCCTGGCCAAGGAGAACCTTTGTTTTAAATCCCAGCTCTGCTGTTTACTTTTTATGAGACTTTCAGCAAGTTACTTAAATTCCCTGAGCCTCAGTAAACTGTCTTGAAAAATGGGAATAATAAAATCTGTCTTGCTTCACTCTTACAAGAATTCAGTATAATCGCTAACACAGTGGGTTGGCACAATTTATTTATATTATCATTCCTTTGTTCACATTAGTCCCCAGAATGCACATCTCCCACGTCTACTCCTCAGAGATCCTAATGATGTGTTAGCTCCTGGGAGCAGCCATGCAGGACCAATTTGGAACCATGGGGCCTTTCTAGCAAATCCCAGATCGCTCCTTTTCCCATATCTGTTTTTAAGAACAGAGGTGGAAATCTTTTCCTGGAAAACTATTTTCTGTCAAAACCAGTCCTTATGCATGATTCCATTTCTCAATATCCCCATGGGTAATGTAAATGCTGAAGATTCTTAATTCTTATTTATGAAATCAAGAACTATTAATTGAGTACCTATTAACTGTCAGACATGAAGTAAGTTGCTGAAGATACACCCATGGTCATGTCCTACAGAATGATGATCAATTATGGAAAACAGCAAGTCTGATAAGCAAGTACCCAAAAAAGAGGACAGGTATGATAGCATGAAAAGTAGAAGCCAGGTGAGGTGGCTCACACCTATAATCCCAGCAGTTCGGGAGGCTGGGGTGAGATCACTTGAGGTCAAGAGTTCAAGACCAGCCTGGCCAACATAGTGAAACCCCGTCTCAACTAAAAATACAGAAATTAGCCGAGCATGGTGGCACGCACCTGTAATCCCAGCTACTCAAGGAGGCTCAGGTATGACAATCGCTTGAACCTGGGAGGCAGAGGTTACACTGAACCAAGATTGTACCACCGTACTCCAGGCTGGGCAACAGAGCAAGACTCCAAGGAAGGAAGGAAGGAAGGAAGGAAGGAAGGAAGGAAGGGAGGGAGGGAGGAAGGGAGGGAGGGAGGGAGGGAGGGAAAGAGACAGGGAAGGAAGGAAGGAAGGAAGGAAGGAAGGAAGGA